ATGCACTTCTTATCATCCACGCTTAATTTTCATTTTAACATTATCTATTAAAATCTATCTCGTTTCGTGATATTCATAAGAAAAAACTAAACCTATACTAATTTTCAATATCAAGACATATAAACGAGAATTTTACAATATTAACTTTGAAAGCAATTTGTTTTGCTAATTTGTCGATAAAGATGATAATTTCATGTATGAAATCATCAAACCTCGATCCTAACTATCCTATGATAGTCAAATCAATTCATATTTAAACACATATACGTGCATACTTTTAATAATAGCACAATTGTGTTTATAAAATAAAGCAGCATTTACACGTAGAAACACACAGTCGAGGGTCAAGCGAGTCGCTCCGACGCGCGTTACTTTTAGTAATATCTCGAATTTATACCATATGGGTGAGGGTGTGAGTATGAATGTCGGTGAGGGTGTGGTTGTGGGTGCGAGTGTGAATGTCGGTGTGGGTGGGTGGGTCTGGCTGTTAGTTTGGGTGGTGCGATTATCTACATCAGCATCTAATCCATCTTGAGGATGTGGGTATAGGTGCATCGTCTTCTATATCATTGACACCCACACCCACCCTCCACATGATGCATTGGGGATGCAGAGGATACGATTACAATCCAAAAGATATATGTGAAACCAAGCGTATAAAAGTTGATCGAATGATGAAAATATAAAATTTACGCGATAGAAATCATGAGAGTAATGGTAGAGTACTTTGGTGAACGTCTTCCATTGATATCAAAGAATTCAAAGTGTTTTTTTTTAATATTTCTTGCAGCTAATCACGTGGTCTTGTTTAAGATGATGAATTGAAATTGAAAACAACTATTAAAATAGTATAGTAACTAATTGTTGATCTTCTGACGTGTAATCTATGTATGCGCAAGATATTTTCACCGTTCGAATGATATAAGGATCATTCAAGTACTGTGTTATCAATGTTTTGCTCATATGTAGCTCTTTTTTTTAAGAATATCATCTCACCACATTTATACTATATTAGTACTGCAATTTTTATTGTATAATGCCGTCACTAAAATTGAACATGTATATTACAGTTCTTCCTCAAAATGTACTATCATTATATGATGAACCTTTCTATGAATTAGCTGATCCTATCGAAGCTAGATTACTTCAAGTACAAGGTGTTCGTAGTGCCTATTCATTGATGAATATTGACGATGTTTTCGATATATTAAAGTGTCAATGTAAAGCATTGAAAGAAATTAAAAAAATGCTTGTGTTTTATTGAATGATAATTGATATATTATTAAGCCTGGATGTAAAAGTAATTTACGATACTTTACTCAAGTACTTATTTTGAAAAATCAAGAACATTCGAAAAAATCAAGGCATACATTAAATAATATTGATAATAGTGATACACCCACATCACAATTGTCAGCACAAAGTTCTTCTTGTTTCTTCGTCAAGATCACAAAATACAACAACAACAATAACATGCAAGTATATGCAATCGTCGGGTACAGCAGATTATCTTATTTCAATTATAAATATTTTAAATAGTTACTATTTTCCAAAGATTTCAAAAGAGAAGATACTTTTTACAAGAAAAAACTCAAAAGCAATCTGGATGTTTATTTTGTACTATTTTTATAAGAATTGTATTGCATATGATCTGTCATATGTTCCTTATGACAAGTAATATTTTGGAAGTTGCCTCAAATATTATTTTATGTTTATTTTACAAATGTACTATCTATTAGATTTAAATGTTTTTTTTCGTAAGAAATATGTAACAGAAACTATGAATAGTATAATCAACAGTGTCTCTAATGGAAGTACCATGGATAAATCAGTCATAAATAATATAGATAAGAAGTGTTGCGATCAATCATCAGTAGTTCTAATCTACAATATGAATGCTAAAAATTGATTAATTGAACATGATAGTAAAATACTTCCTAAGCACTAGCAGATAAATATTGTGTACGTTCGTGGTTTATAATATATATTCATAACTCTGTATTGTGCAGAGTATAGACTTATTCAATCAATTTATTTTGAAACACAATTAAATAAGAAAGATGTGAAAACAATTAATATGACGAACACATCCAATACTAAGTCTTAGTATAAAAAACAATTGGCCTGGAAAAATCTGCGCAGGCAGAGAACAAACTCAAATATTGCTTCGTTTTCATAGAATATCGATCACTTGCAATTTATTTATTAAAACCAACGAAGAAAAGAATATATTTTTAATAAATAATAAACTATGTCAGTTTGAAAACAGGATGCAGAATAGATTACATAAATACTAGATTCGTAATCTTCTATTATGAGCAACATTTTGTACTATCATACTATTCATGTTGTGTACTTTTCTAAAGTTTTATTTCTGTGATTTCTTAAAAATGAAGTCTTATTTTATGGCGATAAATAAATAAATATCTATGCTTCTTCATTAATGATAAAGCTTGATCTGTTTCTATGTCATACAGTTAGAATAGAATTAGACATGTATTGGAAACAGTAAAATATTAAAAAAAATAAATTATTTTGCGAAAAAAACAGAATATGGTTGTTATAGCGAATATTCGTTTGTTTACCTAAGAATAAATCGACAGAAAAATTCATAAAAGTGCATTTACAAATACACAAACAATATTTATATACATAAAAATGCTCGACTACTTATATGAAAAATTTGACTGATCATGCTATTAGCTCGTTTCAGCTGAATGTGTATCTTTATTTCTGATGATAAATTAATGAATTGCGTAAGAGAAAACGATAAGCAAAAGCACCATCGCTATTTTTTATTTAAAAATTATATACAGCTCTATTCAAAAAAAAACTTTCACAAAATGAAGTGTTTTGTGTAGCGTTTTTCTCGCCGTTAGAAAGTAATTATACATTTGACTTTTTCAGGGATACATGCTGGCTAGCTGTACTACGCGTTGGCTATATAAACGTATGATTTCTGTTCTTTTTGATATATAAACATTTAATCATGTAATAATCTACTGATTTAAAAATATATCATACATTCATATTACATTACTGAAACAGAAGCATGAGGCGCATTCCTGCTGTTCGCGATAAAATAAAGATACCACCTGATATATTTGACGTAGCAATTAAATAGCTATCGGTGGGCTTAAAGAAAAATTATCGGCAACTTGCGGTTCATATTATGTTCATGTACTTTAAAACTATCTTCTTTTTACTGTTAGACAAGAATTTCGTCGAAACTAATCTTGACAAACAAGATAATGATCGTAAGCATACTCATGATATTTTCAAACAATTCATCAACAACAAAGTATCACAATTATTGGAGTGTCCATCTGAGACTCGAAATGTTAATTTTATTCAGAATTTATGACCAATTGTAAAATGCAAAATTATAAAAAGAAAATCGAAAAACTTTGATGAAATCGACATTTTTTTATCTGAAGTGGACTTTATTATTGTAATGAATTCGGTAGTGTCGATGAAAAAACGATGCTTGTGTTTTATTGAATCGAAAGGGAAACGAATACAATATCAAAGTATAGTGTCTAATAATACTCGCCATAGACTATCACCTAGTAATTGAAACTACTTGACAGTAACAGATATATGAGGATGTACTTACATAATAAGCTGTGTATGATATGAATTGTATGACTGTATCGTGTGAAATGAGAAAAAATCGCTATCTGTCTTGAGATTTAATTACATAATGTCTAGAAATATCAGATGTAGGATAGTTTTTTGTTTTACTTCTATAGTATGAATGAAAAAATGGAAATTTTTCGTCTTTATATGACCAATTTCGACCAAAATAGGAAGAACATGAAAATTGAGATTGTAATTCCAGAAATTTTAAAACTAGATAAATATGAAGTTCATAACAACATAAACTTACTTTTAAACCATAATCAATCAATAAATCAATAAAAATTAAAATAATATGCAGAATAGCATAATGCTATTAACAATGATATCAGTAATAATTAATGTAAATTCATCACAAAAATAATAATAATAATAATAATTGATTTATTCCTAGTACTAGTTTAACATAAACATATCACTCAAAGTTGAGTTCTGCTTGTTTTACATCATCATATTCCTATTATTTTGGTTGAAAATAATTGTGTAAAGACTGAAAATCGTCGTTTTCTTATTCGTATTAGACGAAAACATTTCTACATTTCATACTTATATATATCATAGAACAATAATAGTATAATACTTTATTTGTTGATTTCTAACTTATTGTTAATAAAATGGAAATGAACAAACTTGCTCTACTCGACATAGTTGTCTTGTTATCCATCTGACTGGTAATACGTTATGATTTGTGATGTCGACAATAGCTTTTCCTTCATATATTTGTTTTGACTTGAAAACTCAAACGCTTGTAATCTAGATTCAGATGAGACTAATTGATTTCTTAGAGTATTTAGTATATAGTAAAAATACGTAATCGTAGAAAGAAATGCTAAGAATGCACTAAAAACATTAAAACGATTTATTGGAGATACAGAGGATCCATTGGCGATCCAGGGAATACAAAAGATCTATTGACGATACACAGGATACTGAATATCCTTTGGGGATACGGAGGATACCGTGATCCCACAATTCGCTTTTCCCTCCTTGCGACCACCCTCCT